CCCCCACCTGTACCAGACCACATTATCCCAGCCCTCTGCCTCCTTCAAGAAGCTGCCAGTAGTAATACCATAAAATCAGCAAATACCTAGTGCCAGAGAATAAATTTAAGTCTCTTTAAACACATTTTTGTGTGACTTAATCTATTTTTAAGCCCAGGACTCCCACTAATGCTATATATTAAACCTCTTTGCTGTCTCCAGAATGTATTTCATTGACTGGCTGGCATCTGGCATTAACCATTCAGGAAAAACTCCGAGTAAGCAGTTGTAGCTTTTTTAGGTCAGCACTTAAGGTGCAGTTGCTGCTGGTATCAGCAGAGGAGGGCTTGAATCCCGATAGATCACAGGGCTTTTTTCTGTGACCTGAGCACCAGGACTACGGGGTAACCTCTTACCGGGTCTGCACAGCTCCCTGAACAGCAGCACGGGGAAAACCACGTGCATAAATCACACCAGGCTGTTATCAGCTCAGCAGAGAAGCTGGAAATACTTTGCAAAAGCTCAGAAAAAATATTTTTTTCTCCCCCATACTGAGCTGTCTGCAGGTTCCCTTTCAGAGCTACATCATGCAGGAACATCAAGAAGAGGCATCTGATTTAGAGCCAAACACCTTTTACTGAAAAGTCTGTAAGATTCCTGTTTTTCAGAAAAAATCCCTCCAACCTTTGAATTCATCAATTATTCTGAGCAACATGGGAGAGGATTAGAGGATACGTGTGTTCCCTTACAACTTTTTGAGCCACTTCAGCCACATATCTGTGCATGGAAGCTGCAGTATCGTATCATACAGATCAGTATTGTATCATACAGATCGCTCTGTCTTTGTCTGAACCAAGCAAATTGAAAATAAGCCAGGAAAAGCAAAGCCAGCACTGAGATTCTTGCTATTAGAATATAAAACATTGCCTAACTAGAGAGGGAAATCATTTGCATGATGATGGAAAGTACAGTGGTGGTTCGATGAGCTGTTTTGCCCTACTGACCAGCAGCAGCCTGATGGGTGGGAACTGGGAGAAGGCAGAGGGGGAGGTTTGCAGCAAGGTGTCGCTTGCCCGTAGCCCATCAGTGCAGATTTCTGCCTCCTGATTCAAAGGGAAGGGGACCCCCGACCTTGCCGCAGAGCAAAAACAGCTCAGTGGGCAGTCAGCAAAGTTGAAGCCTGCATCTCTCCAAATGCCGCTGCCTTTGGGAGCGGATGGAAGAGGTTTCTGACAATATTACATCAACAAAGCACCATCTAGTGGTTATGGCACCCAGGGCTTCCCCGCCTGACAAGAGGCTGCGCACGCTGCCAAGCTTTGCCCAGCTCGCCACGGCGAGATGCTGAAACACACTCCAGAGCCCACGCCAGCCGTGTGTCCAGGAAAGCCGAGCTTATGGAGGATGCTGCTCCATGGAGCCATGGGTTTCTGCGGTGTAAAGTGGCCAAGTGGTGACTCTGCCGTATCCAAAGTCCTGCATTACAGTCCCAACTTGGGCTGCCCTGACCTCGTGCTGTATGGTTTTTTTTTCAGTCCAGACTAAGCACGGTGAAAAGATTTAGCAGAACTGGTGTCTGCAGCCTTGACTCAAACCTTTGGCCTCTGCTGGGCTCAAGGAGAGGGGCAGCTTGGGATGGGCACCCCAATTCCTTCATTAGCTGCTGGTTTCCCACTTTTGGGGCTTTCCTACTCCCTGTGAGGATGTGGGCAGTGCTGGGGGTGGGAAGCTGGCTGCCCCAGGGCTCGCCTGCCCACCACCACCCCCAGCAGCGCTTGCTGCTGCCTGGGGACCTGCTCTGGGTCCAGATCTCCTGCTCAGGGACACGAAGAGCGGAGCCAAGGTGAACTGAGAGAGCACCAGCGCATCTCTCTCCTTCCCTTAGCCCACCCTGATCTCAGTGCCGGAGCAAAGCACAGTTCCAGGTCCCAGTTATTGGCAAAATGGGGTTCCAGGCAGCCAGAGGATTTCCCACATCCCAGGCTCCCACTTGGCTGGACCACCCCGGGTTGTCACTGTCCTGCCACAGCCCTGCCAGAGCTCTGGGCTCCGAGCAGAAGGAGCATGCTGCCGATCGTCAGGGATCTGTGCCAGGGTCAGAGCTTGCCCTGCACATTAGTTGGTGTTTAAGAGTTTTCCAGAAAGTAGGTACCAGCCCTAAAAGCCTCCCAATCACATCGTTGGCTTATCACAACCTGCTAATAAATGCTAACCCCGGTGGCAGGGCTTTAGTCAGCACACGCTTCGTCTTTTCTCGTCCCTGAGCTGGGTGCCCAGGGACGGCGGTTGGCAGGCTGCAGCGGTGTGGCTGCAGATGAAAGGTGCCTCTGAAGTTCTTCAAAGCGGTGTGTTCAAAAGTGGCGCGTCCTCCCCAGACGCGGGCATCGTGTCGCACCCCCAGGCTCGCAGCGCCCACGCCTTTGGCACTTGCAAAGCCTGGCGTTGTCCCTGCTTCAGGTTTGAACCCCCAGGTGTGGCACTGGGAGGAAGTCTGTTGTTTGCTTTCGTGCTGTGTGGTTGGCAGCTGAGACTTTGAAGCTGGTTAGCGAGTGATGGATGATGACATCCAACAGAGAAAGCTGATGGGAGTCGGTGTTTTCTAGCAGAGGCATTTCTCTGGTAGGGCAGAGATTCCCCAGGCTCCAAATGATTTCTTTACTGTCGAGAGGAGGAAGAGAGAGCAGGATTAAAGGACTCATTGGAATCCTGCTTATGTAATTAAAAAAATAGGAATCCTGACTTCCAGTAAAGAAACTTCATAAATATCTGAGTTTATGTTGGAGAGTAAAATAGTTTGTCAGCATCAAAACTGTGGCCGTCAGCATGGAGGAGTTTTATTCTTCCTGGCAAGGACTTAAGTGTCGCTAACAGCGTGTCCTAGACTGTTGTGAACTACAAGAACAAGCAGTTGGTTCCAGCCTGTGTCTGTGTCTGTGTGAAGTGTTTCACTCCAGCTTTAAAATGCCCGCGAGAAATCAGTGTTTGATTTTCAAAACCATTCGTGCTGCTGTCAACCTTCAGTTGCTCCCTCCTGTTCCAAGCCCGCTGTTGGCTTTGTCGTGTGAAATAGTCATTCGGGTGAGAAACCCCCCTGCTCTTGCCCAACTCGAGAACTGTTTTGCCGCATATCCTGTAACTTTGGGCTTTGTCTGATGGGCTTTGAAGCGGTGCTTTACTGAGGGCTCGTAGGAAGTTGCAGGTACGGTGCGGTAAGTTGTGTTTCCGCTGCTGGTTGTTACAGAACCACCTTCAAGGGACTTGGGGAGCTTTTTAGTAACGTTGTGCCCGCTCGTGCATCCGGTTGAGTTGTTACGGTTATCAGGAAGCTGAATCTGTAAACCCTGGCTGTGGTGTGTGGGCTCGGTCTCTTTGGGTAAAGCGTGGAGACCCTTGCTCATGGTGGCTCAGAAAGAGGGTACGGAGACCGGAGCAGCTCTGCTTGGTAGCAACAAGACTGCGTGGGCTTGGGTTGAGCATTAGGAAATGTTCTGCAGGAGGGAGGTGCAGTCTGGGACAGGTCTCCAGAGGGGCAGTGGGTCTCTGTCTTGAAGGTTTTCAAGATCTGTCCAGACAAAGCCTGGCCTGACCCCTTCAAGGGCTGGCAGCGGTCCTGCTGCAAGTGGGAGGTGGGACTAGGGACCCCTTCCACCACCCTGCTGCCTTTCTCTGATTGTCCTCTTGTTTCTTGCAGGAAGAAGAAGGTGAGGATGCAGATATCTCTTCTGGTCCCTCGGTCATTAGCCACAAGATGCCTTCCGCCCAAGCCTTTCATCACTTTGCTCCTCGTTACTCTGAGATGGGCTGCGCTGGGATGCAGATGAGAGATGCCCATGAAGAAAACCCAGAAAGCATCCTCGATGAACATGTACAGCGTGTGATGAAAACACCAGGCTGCCAGTCTCCAGGACCTGGCCGTCACTCTCCTAAGCCACGGTCCCCGGAAAGCGGCCACTTAGGAAAGCTGTCAGGGACACTGGGAACAATTCCTCCAGGGCACGGCAAGCACGCGACAAAATCAGGAATGAAACTGGATGCACCTAACTTATACCACCATAAACATGTCTACCACCACATCCATCATCACAGCGTGATGAAACCAAAAGAGCAGATCGAGGCCGAGGCCACGCAGCGAGTGCAGAACAGCTTTCCGTGGAATGTAGATTCACATAACTATGCAACAAAGTCACGAAACTACACTGAAAACTTGGGCATGGCATCTGTCCCCATGGACGCTTTAGGCTACAGGTGAGTCAACACCCAACGGGAGTTTCAGAGCTGTGGCTTCTCTAGGAATCTCTCCTATAAACAGGCTGTACCATGCTGGTGAAACAGGGTGGCTGAACCACGTTTTCCTGGGAAAGGCTATGCTGGGACATGGTTTGGGGGCCTCCCACTGCTCTTCCCCTTCAGAAATGGGGCATAGCCCCTGTAAACCCTGTTTCACCTCTGTGACTGGTGCTGAAAGACACTGTCTAACCAGGTTTTTTTAGTGGCCTTGCTTCTAAAGTAATTTTTCTGCTCCTTAAAGCAGCAGAGGCACTTCAAAATCGCAGGTGCTGGTCTGCTTCCCTGTGCGTCAGGAGATGCTATGTACAGGGCTGTGTCTCGGGGTCTGGGTAATGGAAATCAGTCTCCTGAGGTGTTCATGAGAGGACAAAAAAGCCTTCCTTATTGCAAGACCTAACCCACTCACCAGAAAACCTCCTTTCCCTTCCTAACGAAGCGATGGACGCTGCGGTGCTGCGGCAGCATCCTGTCCCAAGGGGACATTCTCTGGGGCAGGGCGCGGAGGCAGCCGGAGGCAGCTGCTCTCCAGGGACAGAGGAGCACTTACACCTGCCCCGGTTCTCTGGGGAGAGGGTTGTTGCTTCAACAGAGCATGAGCACGGCCGTGCTGTGTCAGCCCAAAGCCCCGTCTAGACACAGGGCTTCTCTCTATCAGCACATATTTAAGGGGGTTAGAAGAGGGCTGTCCTTCCTCTGGCACAAACTCCCAGTTCCTGATGGTCCCTGGGTTAGGAACTTCACAAGACAAGAGTTTGCATCCAAACGGTGTTGTTGGGCAGCCAGCAGGCTCTTGCGGTGGCTTATCTGGCTCCTTGCTGAACCCAACTGGGCTGCCCCCTTACCCCCCCATGGCAGAGTCTGCAGGGTGATTACAACCTGCAGAAGAAGCTTTTTTTTTGTTTGCAACGTGCTGCTGGAGAATTGCATTTGATACCTGCTAGTCCTCGTGTGGGGAGAAGCAGAGAAGTTGTCAGTTTGCCCCGCCTTTGTAGATCTTCAGCAACCCCTCTGCAGGTTTTTTGCCCAAAAATTCAGCAAAGCTGTCTGAGGAGCTGTTACTCCTCTGGGGTGTCAGGTTATTTTTCCTCTGTGTGTTGGTGAGCAGGCAGAGGCAGACGCAGGGAGGTCCTGGGTAGTAAAGCGGGTGGGTGATGAGCACAGGGGGGGGTCCCAGGAAGATCCACCTGGCTGCAGCAATGCAGGTGGTCATGCTTCCCACGGCGTGAGAGCCTGCAGAAGGTGGTCCACCCTGCCAGGATGAGGTTCATGTTGGGGTAGGAAGTGAGTGTTGAGTATGGTACATCAGCAGGGCAGGGTGTCGGGGAGCTGGGGAGTGATGGGAAGGGCTCAGGTTTTGAGCAGCGTGGAGAGGCAGCCGATGCATTGCAGCACCAGGATGAACCTCCTGCTCTGGGCAAACAGATGAGGGTTGAACACAATGTGTGGCAGGAGATCCGCTGGGCTTTTTGGCATGTTGCTGTGCCTCATTTGTCCAGAGGAGAAGCTCCCTTTCCCCGCAGATGGCTGGATGGAGAAGCCTGCCGTGCCTAGGTCCAGCTGGTCCAGCTCTTAGCCTCAGCTTGCGGCATGGTTGGTTCGGGCTGCAGTAGAGCCAGGGGGCTGCGGAAGGCACCACGGCTGCACCGCGGGCAGCACCAGACCCCAGCAGGGCTGGATGTGTCTGGAGGTGGACACGTCCATCCTCTGCAGCGGTCTATGCTGGCTTGGCTCGGGCAAAGCGCTAATGTCTCGAGCTTTGTTCTTGCAGTGGGAAAGCAAGTCTGCTCTCCAAAAGAAATGTTAAGAAGACCGATTCAGGGAAAAGTGATGGTGCCAACTATGAGATGCCAGGATCTCCTGAAGATGTGGAGAGAAACCAGAAGATCCTTCAGTGGATCATAGAAGGAGAGAAGGAGATCAGCAGGCATAAGAAAACAAACCATGGGTAAGGGCTGGCAGAGTGAGGGGCCCTCGCGCTGTTGTATTTATTGCATCCCCTGCACGAGGCTGCCCAGCAGGCTGCCTTGGTGCTGGAGACCTTGGGAAGACAAGATCTTTAGGCCCTTTGGAGACTGAGGATTGCTCAGGAGCTGTAAGGGCTGTTTTTTTCTGAAGGATGACTGTGGCTGGGGTGGGGAGTTTGCAGCCCCAGGGGCATCTCACAAATTGGGGTTCCGAGATGGATAATGCAGCACACAGTAAGCAGTGTTTTTCCTCTAAGCATTTGCTGTGTATAAATGCCTGGTACTCCTGCGAGGTGCTGATAGAAACGTAGGACCTGCTGCACTGGAGCCGTGGGTCCTGAGTGAGCCGTTCAGCACGGCTCGGGGCTGCCCAGCATTCCAGCTTGCTGAGAGCATCCTCTGGGACGGCCTCACCCGCCTAGAGTGGAGCCACGGATGCGGCTGTCTAGAGAATCTCCCTGGAGTCAAGCAGAGCTCCTGCAGGCACAGATCCTTAATCGCAGCCTGGTCAGTCTCCAGCAAAAAGCAATGCTTGCAGGGTGTTGATGAGAGGGATCTGGGGTCTTGTCCCCGCTGATGTGGCTGGTGGTTTCTTCTCTTTCTCGCTGGTAGGGGCCAGGGCTGGTGCCATTGCAGGGCCCCAGAGCCACGGGCAGGGCCCGGCCACTGTGAAGGCAGGCAGCAGGTTCTGCCACCAGAGCTGGGAGGGACAAGCACATCGCTGCAACGTCCCATTTCCAGAGATGCCGACCAGCGGCTCACAGAGAGGCTCCCAGCCTGGTAAGGTCGGCAGCACTGGGGAGGGCATCTTCTGGGGGAAGGTCAGACATGGTGGAGCTGCCGTTTGCTGGGTTTATTTTTATGTGTTGTGGACTTGATGAGAGCCCTTCAACTGCTCTGTGGGCTTTGTGGCAGGGTTGGGTTGCTCACCCTGATGTCTCAGGACTTGCTGTCCTGAAATCTTCTCCAGAGGTGGGTGGTGCTCCCCTGGCCCTCAGAAGCCATGCCATAAGGAGCTGCCCCGTTCTGCCCGTGTCCAGCCGCAGGAGCCGTGGGTCCATCCAGGAGTACCCTGTGCCTGTATCTCGGCCGTCCGTGTAAAACCTCTGTGTTTGTGTGTAGCTCTTCAGGTGCCAAGAAGCAGCTGTCCCACGATATGGTCCGACCCCTCTCCATCGAACGACCTGTGGCAGTGCATCCGTGGGTCAGTGCCCAGCTCCGGAACGTCGTCCAGCCTTCTCACCCCTTCATCCAAGATCCTACCATGCCGCCCAATCCAGCCCCCAACCCTCTCACCCAGCTGGAAGAAGCTCGCAGGAGGTTGGAGGAAGAGGAAAAAAGGGCTGGAAAACTCCCCCTTAAACAAAGGTACAGCGATAGAGTCTGGTTGTGCGTGGGAGGGAAGGGGGAGATGCCCCCTGCCCTCTGCTCTGGTCTCCAGCTCCCAGCACCGGCTGGGTGGAGGCACACTCAGAGAGGTCGGAGAAATCTGCCTCAGTCCCCCTGGCGTGGTGGTAAAAACACCAAAACCCGTCCTGGGGGCCTGGGCTTGTGGTTTGTGGATGGAGAGGCTGGAAATACTCCTGGAAGGGTGGGGAGACGGGGCTGCTGAGAGCATGGGGAGGAGCAGGGCAGGGGAGCGTGTCCAGAAGAGGCGTGGTACGGGAGAGCTCTCTCCCTCAGCAGCTCTTCACTCACATCACGATTTCAAGGGCTGGTGCAGCAGCAGGATGCAGCAGAATTAAGTACAGCAGAAAAACACGTATTTGCTCTTTATCCACGTCTCCCCCAGGCTTCTGGCAAAGGCTGCTCGTGGCACCCGGACGGGAGCACGGCGCTGTAGTCCTGCCGCAGCGGTGACTCTGCGTGGCCCTGTCCATCCCACTGCATCTTCTGGTGACTCAGCTCGATGCCTGTTGCAGAGCTCATTGTGCTCCTGTGTTATCTCTCAAGGAAGATTATTTCCAAGGCACATGGAGCTCTCAGATGAAAAGCATTTTGGAAGTGCTAGATAATTACTGTTAACAGCTAAAAGCACTTTGTCCATTAAAAACCTTTCACTGCGTTCTGAAAACTTGAAACTTTGGCATCTGACTCTTAGAAACACGAGTGTAATTTAAAAATTGAGTTATTTTAATTGCCAAGTTCAAGTTATTTTTGTTCACAGTGACCATGTAGCAGACTTCTATGTATTTATGTCAGAGCATTGATTGAAAGGGAGGTAATTAGAGGGCTCTCCCAAGTCAGGTTAAGCCAAGTTTATTTGATCTACCTTTCAGTTGGTATGATTGGAAAATGTTTATTAGTAGAGTCATTTATAGTCATGCTAAATTCGTGCACTTTCCCCGGAAGCATCAAGATGCAGATAGACCGTTTGGAAACACCGACCTGGGCTATATGCATATGCAATTAACACTCTAATAATAATTGGGCATGTATTGTCCGGGCAGTTTTTGTAGAAACCCTATGGCATTGCGATAAAGGCCGTGCAGACCAGTGGCACAACCGGCTGGGCAGTCGCGGTGCTGGTGCTCTGCTCCCCTCGAGCTCTGGCTCTCCTCCCGGTGCCGCAGGGATCCCCTGATCTGCCCCGTATGTTGAAAACCGAGGAGCTGTGTTTGCTGAAGGAAAACTACTCATGAAAAGCAAACGCGCCTGTGGCCTGTAGCAGGCAGGAACGGATGCAGCGGTCCCCAGGGATTTCTGGATGTTGAAATCTCTCTGGTGGGTTTTGGCAGGATTGGTTTTGGCAGCTAAAGCCCACCGGAGCTAGCAGCTTTTTAGAGAGCTCCTGCCATGGTTAGCGCAGGAGCCTGCCTGAAAATAGACCCCAGGGCTCTTCTGAGAGGGGCTGCACAAAGCTGGCTGGGAGCTAGAGGAACGGAGAAGGGAGGTGATGTGAAATCACCATTTATTTCATCAGGAGCTCCAGAGAGCTCTGGGAAATTGGAGCCTGCATCCAGGTTCGTTGGCAGCCTTGGGGAAGCCACGGGGCAGGAGGTGAAGGTGAGCCTGGAGATGTCCTTGAGGCACTGTGCCAGCTTTGTACAGCCGAGCGGCCCTCGCCGGCATGGTGACGCAGCTCAGCAGCCGTTCCCCCCCAGCACTGCCCTGCTGGAAATAGCGGAGGCACCTGCAGCGCCTGGACGGGGAATCGTAAATACGGGATGGGATGGCTGCTGTGAGCAGGCAGTGCAGCATTCAGTGTCCAGCACTGGTGACCTGCAGGTCCCCTGTGCCCAGCGTTTGTGCCCCAGTGGCCATCTGGTTTCTTCCACGTACATCTGGTTTTGAGCCATTTTCTGTAGCTCGGTATCGCAGTTCACTTATGTTTGCAGCTGGATGCAGCAGCTACCACCAGCTCTTCAGAGAAAAGATTTTTGCAAGAAGCAGGAACGTTAGCGTGAGCTGGGTTTGGGAATAACTCAGTTGGGCCAAGGTGGGGAGCAGAGCTGGCCGTGGAAACACCTCCCGCGGTAACATCTGCTGGGTGCATTTCAGGTTTTCCAAAGCTCTCCAGCCCCACGCTGAGCTGGAGCGAGGTGCACGCCTCGCCTCTGCGTCGCAGCCAGGCTGGATTGGTGCTGTCACCCAGACTGCTTCCCTGCCACGGCACCGCTGGGCTGTACGCTGGGAAATCGGGACTGGAATGCAGATGCAGGAGGTCAGATGAGTGCTGCCGGTTCCTTCCTGGGTGACAGTTTGTGCTTGTGACAAATGCAGCAAAGGGAGGGGATCCCGGGGGGTGGCACCCGGCTGTGTTTCTGGGTCACACCCTGGATGGGTGCAGGTGGGAGGTTTGATGCAGCAGGGCTCAGGGACGGTCGGGTGCCCTGTTTGGGTACGCTGTGGTCTCAGGAGAGCTCCTGGCGGTGACAAAAGCAGAGACAGTCGTGCTGTCTCATTCTCTGGAGAGCGGCTCTTGGAAGATGACATTTGCAGTGGTGCTGTATTCATCAGCTCTGCTTCAGCCTGCTGGAGCTCCCTGGCTGTGGCTGGAGATGCGCTCGGCCCCGGGAGCTCAGAGGCACCGCAGCCATCCACCCCACTTCTATTTACGGCGAAAATAGGGGCATACAAAGCTGCGGGGGTTATTTGTGACTCTGGCTCTGTGAAGCAGTGCGGAGCGGCCACTTTTGAGCATCATTTTCAGGCACGTCTGTGCTCTGGAAAGAACTGAGCGCAGGAGCCGGCTGAGCGTGGTCAGAAGCATCCTTGCAGGGATGAAATACATGGCAGGAGGAGGAGGAAGAGGAAGGTTCCCAGCCCCTGGCACGGTTCTGCCTCTTGCTTCTACTACGGCAGAGCTCGGGGGGGGTCCTCTCCACCTTCCCCTGCGAAGGCGAACAGCAGCCCCAGGGGATCTGGCTTTGCTGCCCACGCAGGCGCATGGCGGTGTCCCTGGTCCCCGGGTGCCAGGTCCCTGGGCACGCAGCAGCTCTCTTTGTCACAACTTGTTTCTAGCAGGATTCAGGGAAGCTTAGGGACTCTGAGGTTTTCCAAACCCCTTCAATTTAACTTCTGGCTCGCAGGGTTCACAGAATTTGTCTGAATCTATGTCCCATTTTTCCTTTAAAGGCCTCTTTTTTTTTTTCTTTTTTCCAAGGATGACTCAATTCCGTAATGTTTTTCTAGCTAAAGGGCATCCTGTGCTTTGATACGGGGGTGGGAGAGGCTCCAAGAGCACTGCTGGCGCCTGGAGCACACCCTTGCCTCTCGGGATGCTGCATCTTCTCCAAAGGTCTCCCAGGCCGAGCAGGCACCAGGAAGGTTCTTCAGCTGAACTTCAGACCTCTCATGCTTTGAGAAAGAGTTGAAAAGATTGTGTCTGGTGCTGATGTTTCCATGGGTGTGCCGTTAAGAAGGTGCTCTGCCCGCAAGCCAGTATTTAAAGGTTAGGGTCAGAGTCATTTCCAGAACTGCCATTACCTCATGTGCTTGGCAACTTCTGGTTTTTAGAGCAACTTTCCAGTCATGTAAATACAAAATCATCTTTTTTATCCAGTGTGCTTTTTAAATCATTTTTTAAAGCTGCCCAGTTTGTTTTATGTGACTTTGAAAGAGAAGGCTGCCCCGGCTCAGACCACACGCACCAGGTGTGCGTAGGCTGCTCCGATGTTTGTGCAGCATTCAGGGCACCCCAGCTGAAGGGCTCTGCAGAAGGACAAAGCACCCCGATTTTTGTTATTGCTGCTTTTGTCTGCCTCTGAAAATGGGGCTAGGACAGGGCTGACGCTTTCAGTCTAGTGATGGCACCGTGCAGCAGAACCCTGGTGTGTGGGCTGGGAGCAGAGACCAGACCAGCATCCTGAGAGTCAGGACAGCGCAGGAGATCTGAAGTCACTGCAGTTTTGGGGATGGGGCTGCCTTGCCACTCTGCACAGATCAGACGGGCAGCAGAGCCTCTGGGGCACGTCCCGCTGGGAGCTCCATCCCCTCCAACCTCCGTCTGCGCTGGGACAGGTGCCCAGGGAGCGGGAGCGGCCCCGGCTGCGCAGCCCAGCAGATGTAGGTCAGCGGAAAGCCATGCTGAGCTCTTCTGGCCGCAGCAGCAATAATCCAGAGCGGTCTGAGCAGAGTTTGTGTTACCGTCCCCAGGCACACATCCAGTCCCGGTGGTGACCCAGGTCTGTTGCCGGGGGCTCAGGACACTGCGTGCCCTATGACTCCCGAGCCGGCGGTGCTGCGGGAAGAGCTCAAAGCCCAGTGACGGGTTTCTTTGGCATGAAGGGGCTGAGCAAGAACCTGCACCCTCCTTGGAGCTGCTGTCTGGCCCCATCCAGCCTTTCGTGCCGCTGCCTGCCAGGAGAGCTGCTGGCTGGAGCAAAGGATGCTCCCGAGGGCCCCGGGTGTTAACTCGGGGTCGCCATCCAGGCTCTGGAGGTACGCTGGCAGGTGGGCTGATACTTAGCAGGTCGCTT